GACCTAAATATGATGTTCTATTGTTGCAAATAATTAGTCATATTTAAAATAACATATACGTTTACACATTGTAAAAAAAAAATGCTGTAAAAAATGACCGATGTCTCCTAACAATACCACTGAGGCCCACAGGTTGAAAACCACTGACTTAGAGCTTAAACATGGAGCAAGATGAAGTGACAGAGATACAGAATAGTGGTGTACAGTAACAGGGTACATATACCTCATTATTATACTTGAGTACTTTTATATCTGAAATATCTGTATTTTTATAAAGTATTTTTATTTTTTGAGACTTTTACTTTCACTCCACTCCATACTTCACAGTTAGATACCCCACCTTCAACTCCACTGCTTCCTGCAAACTACTGTAAAGTAAAAACTAGATTTTGTCATAATATACAAGAGAATATGATGCATTTTTACAAATAAATCAAACCAATTATAGTCCACCTTTTACTAAATCACTCTCCTAAACACCAAATATCAGGCCTGTGCACAGACATTTTGCAGGTAAGGGGCTTAAGGGGAAAAAAGGGCAGCATGAATGTGAATTAAACTTAACATAGTTTATTATATTGCGATCACTCTTATCAATAGAGACAATGTGATCATGTTTCAAATAAAGCCAAAAGTACAGTAGTGTTAAGAGATTTTCCAGAGACAGTCAGTTACACCACTGTCTATGCAGGGATTTGAACCCCAGTCGCCAGCATGCATAGCCATGGGATTACTCACTACCTTATTTAATCACTATGTGAGGGTTAGTTATAGCTGTATTTAGGTGCTCCACAAACTCTAACATCAATCTGTTTTTTACAATGAAGAACACTTGGTGTAGTTATTAACACCCCTTATGGCTGACATTATGTTTGGTTGATCTAAAAAAACACATCATGGAATGAGATGCTTTCTAAAAGAGATTGTCAGTGCTTTAATGGTGGGATTTCCATCACTGTGCAGATGCGTTAGAGGTCTGAGACAGTGAAGAGACCTGTGTGTAGGCCCAGGCAGCTCTGACAAGCTTTCAGAATGAAAGAAAATGCTGTGAAGTTGTGCAGAGTAGTTTTAAGTCAGGTCCATGATATGGGTGGAGTGAGATCTTCTAAATTTTCTTAAAATGAAGACACAAGAGGAGAAATGTTGGATTGTTAGAATGTCTCGCAAAGCTTTTACCTTTGATAATTAAGTATATTTAAAAGTAAGCATGTTTGTGTAAATAACTTAATGTGTAAGTAAAAATATATAAAGACCATTTATATATTTTACCAATGACACCTCTACTTTTGCTCAAGCACTGGATTTGTGTACTTAATCCACAACTGACGTAGTGTTTTAGTACTTCAGTTTTAAGGTGAACAGTGTTAAAGTAACAGTCTTGGTCTTGTCTCGGTCTCATCATCATTTGGACTAGGTCTGGTCTCAATCTCGGGGTAAGATAGACTCAGAAATTGTTTTCGAGACCAGCCGAGTGTGATGCCTCTATCTGAGGTAACTGGAACCTGAACATTTTTTCTACCATTTCTGAATATAAACAAAACCTCCAAACAGAATAAAACAGTCCTTTTTGTTTAAATAAAACCTGTTCACTGGTTGAGAATCTAATTGATTCTTTCCATATTGTCAAAAATATTATTATTACCATGTTTTAATTGAATAATAAAAATAGATGTATATTGTTTGGTTTATGTTCAGTTGACTTTGGGTGGTGATTCTAAAGTTTTAGAGAAGACGGACAGAGAATGACCTCACGGTCATTTATTTCCAGATGTTACAATGCAAAGTTGGACTAATTTCCCTGTGTATAAATACAGGTAGATGCCCCATCAATATAGGATGTTATTCTATATACATATCACACGTGTCCAGTGAAGCCTAACTTCAAGGTGATTTCGTTTTATAATGTTAATTGCTCGTTAATATGTGTTAATGGCAATCAAGTCGGACTAAGACTATAATAATAAAAAATAAAATAATAATAATAATAATAATAATAATAATAATTTCTGTGTACTATTTAATGTTATATTTTACAAAATAGATTAGAAAATATAATGTTATTTATTAAGATATATGTTTAATGAATGATGAATGTACAAATGAACTTGATTGCCCCTCCCCCTCTTTTTTATATTTTTTGTATTTATATTCTGAAAAAAAATTTATCTGGTCTCATTCTTGTCTCGGTCTCGTTACTCCTGGTCTCAGATTTAATGCAGACCCAAATACTACAAAGTCTTGGTCTTGACTTGGACTCAACTACGATAATAGGTATGGATGTAATATCCAAAGATTTATCACCTGTTCTCCCCACTGCAGTTTCAGTGCTCCTCATTGGCCTTATCAAATTGGTTCACCGAATGTTTTGTAAGGACACAGATGTTCCAAAGCCTGTGCTGTCAACACATTTTCCAATATATCTGCTAATACCTCTAACATAACAGCAGACCAGGTGTTGTAACTGCTGTTGAGAGCGTAAATAATAGAAGTGGATTGTTCTTTTGATTTCTTGATGGAGGAATCGAATCTTAGCGCACTAAGATTGTGAAACTTGTACAGTCAGTCAGTAATCTGGGCTGCATATGTATTCTCCATGGATTTATATTTAGAAGACTGAGTCTCCTAGCATCGCTAGCCATAGTGGTGTCAACAGGTGGTGAAAACTCTAAGACCCCTAACTCAACTAACCTATTAAAAACCTTACTTCTAATTTTCTTTTAAAGCAAGCTCTTAGAGACTTCCACACTATAGTGAGCTGTTATCTCTAGCAGAGCATCCTTTCAACACTTCTCAGAAACCTCAAGACTCGGGGAAGCAACATAAACTTGTAAGTCAAAATTTGACATACCTCACGCACAGTCTTCAGCACCAGCATGAATACAGTTTTCACAACTGATAGGATACAGTTATCCCAGACGAGCCCCCACTTGTTGGACGCCTTGTACGTAGATTGTTCATTAGGTTCTTGAGATCCTTCATTTTACAAAGTAGAAATTAAACTTTTTTCAAAAGTTTCATGTAATTGGTAAATGGAAGCTGGCACATTTGGAGGAAAGCATATTTTATTTATCCATAAAATCACTGTATTGTATTGTATTGTTGTATAACTATTGCTGACACAGTCCCCTGTGTATGCATGACTGGAGAACTAATGCATCTGATAAGATCTGGTGTTTAAGACTGTGTTTTATACTAATACACTCCAGTTAAAAGCTTAAAGCACAAGGGCCAGTATAGAAGTCTTATGAAAAAGGAAAGTGATTATCTTGAAGAAGTACATTAAAGAAAGAGTTTAGGATGCTAAACCCACACTGACAATGGATTCAAATCATTTAACTTATGATTTCACCTCTAAGATACTGGCATATTTTTTAGCCTGTGAAAATGTTAACTTACAGTTCTTTTTTTATACTATTATAGTATATACAATGCAATCCTTTTGTTTATTTCTCAAAACAAGGCTACAAAAGTTCTAAGTGCTGAAATGACTGAATGCATGATTTTTGGGAAGATACACATACAGTAGAAAAGTTAATTACAGGGAATTTGAATGTTCTGGATGAGACTGGGTCACTGAGGTTTAAACTGAGTGCTGAATTACATTCATATTTAGGCCACTGCTCCAAATTTCCCCAAATTTGGACATCCATATATAGTAGTATGCAAAAAATTGGCTGTCCCTGGACAAATTCCATGTTTCATCAATTTTCTAAGTGAAAATAAGTGAACACATCCTCTACAGAGAACACACTTCTGCACACTGTAGTGCAAAATGTAATGCAAAATATTTATTTGCTAAAATTGACATATTGGAAAAAAAATAAAACACAAAATGCAAAATTTGGCCTGTGCAAAAGTTACGGCACATTTTATATGTTGTGTTTGCTTTTTCCATCATGATAAACTCAGCAGATAAATAGAAATTGGGCACTAACATTTGCAGAAAGAATTATTATAAATTATAAAAATACTATTTTAAGTGTGTTCTCTGTAGAGGATGTGTAACTTATTTTCACTTAGACAATTATTCAAAAATTACAAATTGTGATTTGTCCGAGGGTCTTTTGCATACGACTGTATGTATTCTCTTTCCCAATATGTTAGATGTCTCAGATTACAGAAATTCTGCCTCTTATAGCAGAAGCCCATTTTTTTCCTTACATTCTAGTCTAGTGCTTTACTGTAATTTGCAAATGTATCTCATTTTTGTGTGTATTTGTGTGTGTGTGGTTGGGAGGAAGTACGGTGTGTTAAAAGTGTTTGTGGTGTCTCTAGGGGAGTCTTATGGCTTTCACCTAAAAGATTGTGGCATATTTTTAGACTGTGAAAGTGTTCTTTTAGTGCATTTGATTTACTTGAAAAAGTGCCCATGTCTTTCTCTCCTCTCTCTCTCTCTCCCACTGTGGGTGTGAAATTTAAGAAAACCTACACTGTTCTTGTCCACTTACATTTATTTCCCTGATATTTTACATTCCAAGTTTACAAACAGAATAAAACAAACCACGAAGCATCATGAGGAATGACTCTCATTGTATCCTCCTAGATTCTCTCTGTTTTTACAGTGTGGTCCAGTGTGAATTGACTGAGATGGTGCTGTCCATAGTGCTGAAATTCAGTTTAAAACAGTCCTCTCAACGTCAAAACATATAAACAGTAGACTGTAAAAATTACTGGACAGGAAACATGATTATAGCAGCAGTTTTCTTTACTAGTCTGAGTTATGATTGATATACAAAAATAGGCATTAACTTGCACATGTATCCAAATACAATAGCTGAGCTGTTTTATGTGTTTGACCATCAAACAAGCCAGCATGATAATGTCTTTCAGTCAACACACAGAAATGATTTCTTATATATACATTGCATCAACTGAAATATTATTATTAAATATGCTAGTTGGAACATCTAAATTACACATAAATTAAACATATGTATTCACTCTGCATGGCATGGTTCCTTTTTAAAGTTTAAGGAAGCTGTCTCGTCTATGGAGGCAGGTCAAGTCTTGCACACCACGGACACAGCCTGACCACTGGGTACGATGGATTTCTGCCCACCCACAGGATTAACCCTACAGAGGAGAGAAAACAGTACAGAGGATTAAACTGATGCACATCTACACTGATGTGCCAGATGTGTATAAGAGAAGCCATAAAGAAGCACACAGCTCCACTCTGACTGTCACCAGCTATAGGCCCAGATCCTTTCCACAGTGATCACTGGTGCTGTGTGTGTATTTAGTGACGTATTAGACTAGAAGCTGTTCACCAGTGCAACCGCATGACACATTTGAATCATTTTTTCAGTGCACGCTGGATTTTCTATATTATCTTCTAGGCTAGATCTCGTGGGCATTTTAGTACAAAATGAGATTACATTATCCAAATCTCACACCCCTAACATACGCACGCAGTATGGGGAAGTTAATGTTGCTGTCTTACGCAGGCTAATGGTTCTCTGAAGTGTCCCAGAGGCCACTGAATGCAGCTAAACATCAACATGAAATATCCAAGATTAAACTAAACACAGAGCTTGTGCTACAGATTATCTGTGGTTTTGTCTTCTGCAGGTAACAAACTTAAATATAGCATTGTTCTGACAATTTACTGCACAATTTCTATTAATTTCCTGAGTGTAACATTAATAAATAAAACATAAAATATAAAATGTGCTGTAGCTTTGGCACAGTCCACACTTTGCTTTTATTTTTTTACTAATATGTTAACTTCAGCAAATAATCAGCAACTGTGTATTCAAATGTGCAGAAGTGTGGTCTCTGTAGAGGATGAGCACTTTTTTCACCTAGAATTTCAACAAAACATGTAATTCAATCAGGGACAAAAAAAAACAACAACTTTTGCATACAACTGTACCGTAGACTTTTCAAATTCAAGATAACGATGCCAAAAAGGGCTCTCTGGAATGGCCCCATAGAAGAATCACTTCTGGTTCCTTAAAGAACCTTTCAATAGATGGTTCTTCGTTAAACGTTAAAAGAACCTCCATATAATGTAAAGGTTCTCTAGAACCTTTTCTAGAACCTTTTCTTTCTTTTATTAGTGTAGTGTGTTGTGTTTTTTGTTATACCTTTGTTTTTTTCACTGTTTGTATATTTGTATATAAGTGTACACACAGAGAGAGGCAGACAGAGAGAGAAAGAGAGAGAGAGAGGCAGGCAGAGAGAGAAGAGAGAGAGAGAGGCCCTGACTGAGAGTTACCCTCTGGCCCTGCAGCACGCTCTCCACACTCTGGTCAGCAGAGTGTGTCTGAGCGCCGCGCAGCCCCGGATGTACAGGACCGGAGTGAGAGCAGCGTTGAGGCGCGGCAGCACGCGCAGTGGGTCCGTGCCCTCGTTGCGGAACGTGTAGCACGTGGCACCCGTGAAGTTGCACACGATGACGTGGAGGAAGATGGGCAGCCACGCGATGAGGAAGCACACGGCCACCACGACGATCAGGTAGATGGAGGCGCGCTTGGTCTCGCGCTCGGCGCTGGGGGGCTCGCGCTCCAGCTGGTACTTGGCGATGAAGAAGAGCCTGACGTTGAGGCCGATCATGATGACCACCGTGAAGATGTTGCTGACGAACGTGCCGATGCTCGTGACTGACTTGGCGATGCCCACCGTCACCAGGTTGTTGACGGCCACGATGACGAAGGCGTAGAGCCAGTAGGCGGCGATGACTGCCAGCGTGCGCCCACGGGTCATGCGCTGCGCGTAGGTGAAGGGTGCGGCCACCGCGTGGTAGCGGTCAGCCTGCGCCGCCAGGATGGCCATGTAGGACAGGCCCAGGAAGGTGGGCGCGATGTAGAAGGTGCGCGTGGGCGAGTCGTAGCTGTCGCGCACGTCCAGCACGCCGCAGTAGTAGTAGGACACGCCGGAGCACACGTCGCTCAGGCACGTACTCAGCATGTACATGCATCGGTTCTCCGCGCGCAGCGAGCGGCTCAGCAGGACGGAGGCGAACACGGACGCGTTGAGGAAGATGATGGCCGTGGCCAGCAGGATGCTGAAGAGGAAGAAAAGCACGTTCTCGAGGCTCGTGAGGGGCAGCACGGGCCCGAGGCCCATGCTCCTGAAGGGGGTTGAGTTAGTCAGTTTGGCGGGAACAGGAGAGAAGCCATGAGCGCAGGCTGGGTCACACAGTCAGGAGGGGCAGTGCAGTGAGGCGAGGGCTGGGTGGTACTTTTAAAAAGGCAGGATGGTCTCTCCAGACTGTCCGGGACCCTCGTGTCTTACTGTCAAAACATCTTTGTGGCCCACCAGGGACACACAGCCCTGGTGTTTTCGTGGCACAGGCCTGGCCATGTTTTTGTAGACAAGCGCCTCATGAACCTCACTTCTCATTCCCTATCACACTCATGTCTGTGTTCATATCTGCTCCAAATAAATTATTTCAGTTGAAAAATCTAAGCTGTTGAAGGACTGAGATCTTATGAGTGTCACTGATGAGGAAACTGGCTAAACAGAACACACACTTCTCTACCTCCGGCAATCTTAGTCTTCACTCTTGTCAAAAATGGTTCTATACAGCACCAAAAAGTGTTCTACAATTATTACAAGTCAAATAACGTTTGTGTTTCTATATTGAGTCCTTTTTGGAAAGCCTGTTGTATACACACTTAAAAAAAGACGGTTTTCAAGGGTTCTTTAGTGACAGGAAAGGCTCTATTTAGAAACATGAGTTCTATACAGAACCATTAGCATGCTTAAATGGTTCTTTAGATTGATGGAGAATGTGTTTTATGTGGTTCTGTATAGAACCAAAATGGTTTCTTCTATCGTCACAAGCTTCACATTGTTACAATAGCAGAACCCTTTTTGGTGCTAGGACCAAATACAAAACATTCTCCATCAATCTTAAGAAAATGTCACCATGCAAATAACCATTTAAGCATGCAATGTCATTCTCTAGGCTATATGAATGCTTGTAGGTGGCTTTAGCACTGGTTCACTACAAAAAGTAGGCCTAACTCCTCTGTACGCTGCATAGAGCCACTGTAGCTAGCTCATGTTTATTTCACAAATCCAGTGAATTTAAAGCAGTGTTTTTCACTCTTGAAAAAGAAAGTTCTTCAAGGGTTCTTTAGTAAAGTGAATGGTTCTATATAGTACCAAAAACACTCAAAGAACCCTTTGCATGACTAAACGGTTATTTGCATCATGAAAGCGTTCTTCAGACAGACACAGAATGTGCTGTAGATGGCTCTATATAGAAGCAAAAGGGGTTCTTCTGTTGTTACGATATCAAACTTGTTACAATAGAAGAACATGTTTTGGTGCTATGTCGAACCCTACAAAAAGGTTTTATATAGAACCATCTACAACACATTCAATCTGAAGAGTCCTGTCATAATGCAAAGAACCCTTTAATCATGCAAAGGGTGCTTTGAGTGTTCATGCTTCTATATAGAACCATTGTCTTTACTAAAGAACCCTAGAAGAAACCGTCTTTTTTAAGAGGTGTAGGAACAAGTATGTTTGGTTATACAGTTCACTTCGTATTAAAACTGTTACATCTTGTATTACCAGCTATTACAACTATGTGGAGTTCAGCAGGCTAGTGTTGGCCTGGAATACCAACAGAAATCTGATTCAGAATGAGAATCAAATCACACATTAAGGGTAACATTGCATGTTTAACTGCATCTCTCTTGGGGACACTCCAAAAACTATGTTGGTATAATGAAACTGCAGAGGCAAAGCAAAGAGAGTGAGGCAGGAGGGCCCATAATGACAAAGCTTAAAATCTTTGTTGGGCCCCTCATAGACAATATACTGTACACCCATGTCTCACAGACAGATCCAAGTTCTTAAAGGAGAATTCCACCAGTTTTTCAAAACTTGTGAACAAATGTCAGTCAGAGTGGTTTGGTGTGAAATGCTCTGTTTTAGAGAAATTTACAGAGTCAGAACGGTTTACAGTGGTGCTGATAGGAACCAGACGTCTGAAGAGTTAGATTCCTCTACAATCGTTTTCCCAGAACATTATTACTTTAAACTATTATAAAAACACTGCCTGATGCCTGAGACATTGTTTTACGATAGTTTTGAGATAAGATTTTGGCCTAAAAGGTATTTTCTTTAAAGCCATAGGGAATGGGTGCATGAAGGGTGCTCTAGGGAAAATAGTGCCAAAAGATTTTTTTTTCAGATTTAGCACTATTCTATCTACCATTATCAACATTAGATATAAAAGCTCAGAAAACATGCAGAATCACTGGAAGATTTGTATGGTAAATAAAACGGCTATTGGGTATTCACGACCCCTAGTTCCTGTCACCACCACTGTAAAGAAACTCTGAGCCGCTAAGTTTCTCTACAAATCAGCATAACATTAAACACTCTGAATGACTGAATTATGCAGACATTTTGAAAAATTTAACAACGTAGCACACTAGTTCCTTTGATCCACATTACAGACAACCCTGACATAGATTTCATCATGGATCTCATCCATGGTTAATGCCTTCAGATGGATCCTTCACAACCTACTCTGTTCATTATTTATACTTTTAAAATCTTTAATGGGTAGAATAAGGTAAATATTCAAGTTTCTGTTAGATGTAACTGGCAAGCCCAGAGAGCGTGTTTTTGTTTACAACAGCAAGTAAACAACTCAGTTACACTGTCATTTATTATAAACTGAAAACTTTTTGGTATCACTTTATTATAAGGCTATCCTTAACGGTTTATAAATGATTTTAAATTAGTTTACTGAAGTTATTAATTAGGCCAGAAACACTTTAAAATTGCCAATAAGCAGTTATAACACATAAATAAAAAAGGGCAGCAATTAGCTATTATATCTGATGAATATGAACATTTGATGAAGCTGACAAGTATAGATGAATGTGGGCTCACTATTTGACAAGCAACAGGTCACTGCTATCTTTTTTTATGTATGTGTTAAAACGTCTGATTAATATTTTTATGACCTAGATCATAATAATTAATGAACTCATTTTCAACCATTTATAAACTCTTTATAAAGGTGCACACTTAAAAAGATGGTTCTTTAATAAAGTCAATGGTTTTATTTAGAACCATGAGTATATAAGTTTATGAGTTTATGAGAGTATATGAGTTTTGGATGGTAAATAAAACAGAACCACAGAACCATTATACCATACATTGCTATGTAGAACCACAGAACCACTTCATGCTTAAATGGAGAATGTGTTATATATGGTTCTATATAGAACCTTTTTGAAAATGGTTCCATATGGCTCCAAAAAGGGTTCTGCTACTTTTAGAAGCTTGACATTGTAGCAATAGCAGAACTCTTTTTAATGCTATACCTTATACAACACTTTCTCCATCAGTCAGTTTCACCATGCAAAAAACCTTTTAAGCATTCAGTGTAGAACTCATGGTTCTGAACAGAACCATTACCTTTACTTAAGAACCATTGAAGGACCGTCTTTTAAAAGTGTGTAGTTTTATTTTACAGTGGTAGTGTAATATTTTTATGAGAGGGACATTATTTTTTTGCACTGGGGCCCTTTCGACCCTAGTGACGTCACGGGCGCTTGGAGTGTGAAAACAGACGCAGCAGCTGTAATGACTTTAACGAGAGTTACTAAAGACTAATCGGTCTACTGTGAGTGAATTCACTGGGCGCTCACTGGGCTCTCCTGAGGCTCTCTCTCGGGCTGACCTATCGACCCGAGCTGTGCGCGCACACAGCATATATAGGCCGGGACCCCCGAATTCCCGGCTCCTCCTGCACGCGCAGCCAAGAGCCCTGATCATACCATGCTCCCTCTCAACTCCAGCACCATCCCGCTCTCGGTCGACTTCTCGAGCCCGGGCGACTACTTCATCTTCCTCTACCACATCGTGTTCGCCACGTGCTCGGCGCTGCTCGCGGGCTCCGTGGTGCTCGGCATCCTAAGCACGAGGTCGCTCCGCGTGCAGAACCGCTTCGTCTTCATGCTGAACACGAGCGTGAGCGACACGCTGACGGGCCTGTCCGTCTACTACCTGGGCCTGTTCGACGTGCAGGAGGGCTACCCGTCGCGCAACAGCACCTACTATATCCTGCCCTCCTTCATGGGCGTCAACGTCATGACGTTCCTCTTCGCACAGTTCGACCGCTACCTGGCCGTGTGCCACCCGTTCTTCTACACGCGCTTCATCACGCGCGGCTTCGTCATCGCCTGCTGTGCCTTCAGCTGGTTCTACACCTACCTGATCCTGGCCGTCCAGAACCTGCTGCCAGTCGCGCAGGCCGTTAAGATGAGCGCCTTCGGCATCATGACGCTGCAGGTCATCGTGGTCATCAAGGTGCTCATGACTGTCAAGCTGTACTTCATAGCCAAGCATCAGCTGGCGCGCGAACCGCCCAGCCAAGACCGGGACAGCAAGAAGGAGTCGCTGCGCATCATCGTCTTCGTGGTCATCTGCTTCCTCCTGCTGTGGGGGCCCTCCTTCGTCAACATCATGGTCAGGTACCTGAGCAGCGGCGGCCTGCGCTTCAGGAACGAGGCCACCAACGCCTTCGCCATCATGGCGCGCTTCAACGCGCTTAGCACGCCCGCGCTCTACATCTGGGGCAGCCCGGCCCTGCGCAGCGCCGTGTGGGCCAGAGTGTGGAGGAACGGCTGCCGGACAAGGACGACAGACAGGTCCGAGCACCGGACACAGTGCTTCCCGCGTTCTGCGCTTTCCCTGCACTCATTCAACTTCATGAAGAGCAAAGCAGGCTTAGATGGGCACGGTTAAAAGGGCAATTCCACCGATTAAAAAAAAAAGGTTGAGATGTAAACAAAGTCAGAGTGGTTTGGTGTGAAATGGTTCATTTGTAGAGAAACTGACTCTGATGTCTGTACAGTGGTGGTGATGGGAACCAGGGGTAACGATGTCTACAACACAAATAGCCATTTTAATCACTACCCCAAACCACCAGTGAACATACAAGTGTCTTCCGAGTTTATATATGTGATGTTGATGATGGTGAAATAGTGGTAAATACAAGTTTTCTATGTGGCTTATTTGGCCTTACAACACACGCACCTCTCCACCATGAAGCGCTTCTTAAAAATGTGTTTTAGGCAAAAACCTTGTCTCAAAACTATTTTGTAAATCAGTATTTCAGGCAACAGCCAGCGCATTCGTGATCATTTCAACTTACAGCTTTCTGTGAGGTAGTTTTTATAGAGGCATTAAACACTTCAGATGTCTGGTTCCTATCACTGTCACTGTGAACAGTTCTAACTCTGTATGTTTCCTCTGGAGTGGATGACTCCAAATCAAAGCACCCTGAATGACTTTGTCTACATCTTAATGATTGAATTATACACGCTTTTTAAAAAGTCAATAGATTTTCCCTTTAAACAGGGAGAAAAACTCCAAGACGGTGTTTCTCAGCTCCAATGTCATGAAACTCCTTTTTTCAGCACTGAAACAGGTGCTTTTGATATGCCTGTATACTTTCAATTCAGTGAGACCACTTGTACAGAAAGTGAAAAGTTAAAAAAAACACAACTATCACTTGTGAATCATCACGTTTTTTAGACAGCTCACACATTGCTTTTCACCTTTTTCCACATGTGGACTTTTCACATGATGCACATTTTTTATTTATAGTTTTCTCATTTGTTCACATTTTTCAGGTGTAATTTCATAAAGTCACATGATCACATTATTCATATTTTGTTATATATGATCACATTCACATTATGTTTATATGTTCACACAAGTTTACGTGTGAACGTGTTTTTCAGACACTTCACATGTGATCACATGTAAAATGCCTGTGATGTTTTTGTAAGGTTGGTTTATGATCTCCCTGCTCTAAAACATCTGATCTAATGCGACTTTTCAAGCGATTTCACTGTCGCAGACAAATATCCATGTCGGGATAAAATCATGAGGGTCTTGCTAGAGTCGTGTCGCGCTCGCGTCATCTCGATCGTTTAGTGTAAGGTGGTCAAGATGGTGGTCTTAAGTCAGTCCTTTTCTCGTCTTGACGCTGCGACAAAATCAACCGTGTTTAATATTATCGTAAGTTTTAAGTCTTGGCTCATGCAAATAGTGACGCGCGTGAGTGCTTGCGGGTGAGCGCATGCGCGCGGCGCGGTAGAAAGAAGAGAGAGAGAGAGAGAGAGAGAGAGAGAGAACGTGTGAGCGCCTGAAATCTCTGTAAAAACGGCAAATCTGCTCCACTTTAATACAATAATCATATTAACTTACAATGTAAACTGACTGCTTTAATATTTCAGGACTTTATGAATTGCATTATTGAAGAATCATCGTTTTTTCCTTTTTTTATTTTATTTTATTATTATTATTATTATTATTATTATTATTATTATTTTTATTTATTTATTTATTTTTTTTGCTTTCTGTTACACTGTTTTTATGGTTTAGTGCATAATATCCAATCAACAAGGCTGATTGGCTGCATGTTGTGTTGATGTGTAAACCTTTATGTTAAATAAAAAAGTAACTGCACATTTTACAGGTTAATTAAAAGATTCTGAACTGGGCTGAGCCCCAGATCTTTACATGCTCAGCCAATGTATCCTCCCATCTGTATCACTATAGAGTGGAAGGAGAAGCGTTTCTCTACTTGTATATTTCCACCAGGTGCATGATGGGAAATAATCTCAAAAGTCTAGTTGCGGTCTTGTAAATAGTGGCACTGCAAGGTTTCCTGTCTTTTCAAAATCAAAATCTGTGACTAAAAACTGTGACACTGTCTTTAGATGTGAGAGGGTGTCAGACTTTAGTCTTTCAAAAGTCTTTTCAAAGTCTTCTAGTGTATGGTTAGCATAAGTCATGTCTTTAGCTGACTTAGCACTGAAAAGTTCATACTTGAGTCAAATAATGGTGCATTTGAAAATATATGAAAATATAAGTTTTCTATGGGGACTTTTTGGCCTTACAACACCCTGAATGTACCTGTCTGCCAGTAATAGCTTAAAAATGATAAGGCCAAGCAGTGATAAGTCATATCTTTGTCTATTTGTTTAGTTTGTTCTTTGAGCTCAATCAGGTGTTAGAGCACTGAAAACACTGAAAAAAACTGATACCTGATTTAAACGTGTACATCATCAAGGTGAAAGTGTAAACTAAGTGAAAGACAGAACTGTGTTGATGTAATGGATTTTTTTATGAGGAAATGATATACACATCATCAATCAAGTTTCATTTGTTTAGTGTTTCTCTGCCCTAACACACCTGACTGAGCTGAAGGGGTGATAAATACAGATATGACTCAGGTGTGTTAGAGCATAAAATGATGCAAAGTATACCCCAGCTGATGATGTCCCTGCCTTAAAACACTCTGTAGCTTCATGAAATACTGGATATAAGCTGATGAGTTTAGTGAGATGTGTTAAAGCAGGAAAACACTGAACTGTGCATTGCAGAGGGATTCCAGGACCAGGTTGGGAAAACGCTGCACTGGATTGTTCGTATACTGCAGGGGTGCGCAACTCCAGTCTTGGAGGGCAGTTGTCCGGCACAGTTGGGTGATTTACCTGCTTAAAAACACACGATTACGGTCTTCTGTTAATTGCCAGGTTTAGTGTGTGTTTGAGTAGGGAAACCAACAAACTGTGCTGGACACCAACCCTCCAGGACCGGAGTTGTGCACCCCTGCTATACTGTGTTGGTTGCTCACACTTATGCTTTGAGTAAATAATTCTGCATGTATGCAGCTGCTGTTTGAGTCACTCAGTGTTTCCAAGCTGTAGTCCTGGAGGATTTGTTTATAGCTGATAATCAAGTTCTTCATCAGCCAAAACTCTGCAGTGTTGTCTGGTCAGATTTACATGTAAGTAAAGCTGCTGTTTGAGTAGTAATGTATTGTGTGCTGTCAGTAACAGCTTATCCTCTTTTGTTGCAGAGTGTTCTCCAGCCATGTGAAACCGACAAAGGAAGCAGTGTTAAGCGTCTCTCAGAGCTCCAAGGACACATGAGGCTTCAGAAGTGGACTCAGAGCTCTCTGCTTTGCCTTGAAGATGGTTGAAACTGTCAAGTTCATAAATATTTTACTCTGTAACAAATGGAAAAGAGCTTTCTCCATGAGAATCCCACAAAACACGTCACAGTCTCAGTGTGCTGATGGAATGAGGCTGTATACATTTGCAAAGTGCATCCTCTATTAAGTGGATTGTAATTTACACTGATGTACAGTTCAGATTTGAAAAAGCATATGAACAAGGATGTAAGCCCTTTGGAGTGCTGAAGCAGCAGCTGTGTGTATTTCTTTAATAACAAGTGAATCCAAGAAACAGCAGCTGGTGATAAATGTGTGATGAAAGACCATGATTTTATATATAATATTAGCCCTTGTTTTGTTCCCTTATTTAACATGATAGATTTTTATCAGTGCAAAGTTAAAGGTCATCAGTGCCTGTCCCTTTTTTGGGCAGTATTTTATTGTGGCTCACATTGTCCAGTTAACCAAGAAATCTGGTTTTCTAAACCCGCCTTGAGTGAGGCTAGGGAAAGCACATGTTCACTTACACCTGAAGCTGGTTAAACACAGTTCTCGAGCAACAAAACATTCATGCATTTATCCCAACATATGTTTATGTGATAATGACGGGTTTATTAAAGGGCCCATATAATAGAAAATGGAATTTTGTTTGATGTATGTAAACATTGTTAAAATGTGTTTCAAACATTGTTTAAATTGCTTCAAAACGTACAGTCCAGGCCCCAGTTCATACAGTCTATTTGTAGAAACAAAGCTACAAAAACAGCCTGTTTTGATTTCACGAAAAAGCAGGTTATATTTACATATATCCACCTATTGAGCCTACAGAACCTTAGCCCCACCCATTCATGATAAAGTTATGAGTGTTTTAGCCCAGCCTGCTTCATGAATGAAACACAATACAGGACAGCCAATTGGAACGGAGCTCATTTTCATATATCACTCCTAAAGGCTCAGTAACAAAAACAGCCGGCTTAATTCTGAGGGATAAAGAGAGGTTGGAAAATGGTTGTGCAAAAATAAACTATGACTGGTTTTGGTGCACAAATCCACACAAATGTAATAAGCAGGCCTCAAAATACAAGAAAAATGTAGGCTATGGGCCCTTTAATGTTTAACCTGGAATTACCTTAATGTATATTAATTTACAAACAATTATTTATGAATAATGTGATTATAAATAAGTATCATTTTTTCAAATGATGTTTGGATTATAAAATATAGATAAAATACAACAATATATAAAATGATCAAATGTAAAGTTGTATAAAATTACACTGGATTAGGAATTGTTAGTTTTGGTAATCAGTACTTAAAGCTTATTTGTTTAATTGGTAACATGACAATGTATTCATTCCAACATAAAACGTGCGACAGTGATTTCACTCCTGCTACTGATGTGTAGTCAAGGGACGTTCAGACACTAAGGTCATTTTGAAGAGCCGTGAATTATGAATAAAGATTTAATACACAAGAATTTGGGCCTGTCAGCTATGCTTCAAACATTAAATTAAATATACTGAGATCATAGATTGTGTATAGCAATGAACGACACAGAATTCCCATATACATCCTGAATTTTTATTGGAACATTTTCTTAAAACTGTTTAAAAATATACTTAGATATAAAGATGGTGACTAAATGTTGTGAACAAGGGGGTAAACAGCTTTAGATTTATTCAAAAAGAAGAAAAACTGTTGTTCTGGACCCCACACTCATGTATGAAAGACACAGGCAACAGAAAGTCACTGAAAGGGTAGAGACACAAAAAATTGTAGCAGCGACCAGGAATCAGAGAAGACATTCTCCAAAGCCACTTACAGTTATACTGATTTGCAAAAGGCCTTCTTTGTAAAGCCCATACTGATAAATCGTGGAGCTATTTAGAACTGAGAACGAGGCTTTAAACCGCCAAGCCCACGAGCACCTCTCAAAACAAAGATGCAGTAATGTAAATCCAAACAAGAGAAACAGAGACGCTACTTTCTGTGAAACTTGTAAAATACAAGGCTTTTCAGCTCCTTTGGTCCATAAAATCAAAGTGTGCATATTGCAAGTTAATCAGCCGGGGGAAGGAGCCTTGTTTAAAAAATGATTTATCATTCAGTGGTGAAAATACTGCCTGCATCTTTAACTTCAGGTCAACGGTAAAGGAAAAAAGGAAATGAAGTGGCATCCAACATAAAACAATTAAATGAATGGAAGATATGGATAAACAAGGAGGGAAACTGTGACCACAATAAAGCAAGAACATGGCAGGACGGGTAAGATGGAGTAATATCTGCAGTGTTTCACTCGCCCTTGGTGACCAGATCCTCAATATAGGCATCCAGTTCATCATCACTGCTGATTTCAATATCCTAAAGGAAAACAACCAGAAATCATCACTAAACCTAGATCATTCAACCATGTCAGCATGTCTTATGTGTGAGTGTGCTTGGTGGTGTTAATGCATGTCTGTGTGTGAGTGAATGCAGTAGTTCAGACCTCCTGGACTTTCTGCAGCAGTGCGACGATGTTGGTTCTGAGCTTGCGGAGCTTCTCCTCAGATTCTCTGAGCCTGGCCTCTGCTCCGCTGCTCTTCTCCTCCACAGCCCGAGCTCGAGATTCGGCACGGCTCTGGTATGAGTTACACAGACTCTGCAGCCCTGCCTCATATTGCTGGAAATACTCTTTCTGCAACCAACATGACCACACAACATAGTTACTGCTGAACTGGCACAAACATGCAAACCAAGTGTTATACGCTAAGAGAGGAAGTGTGAAAATGTACAGATGACCACAGCTCACAGTTCACTTCAGGCATTTTCACACCGGGCAGTACGTTACAGCACAGCATGTTTGCAAATCCAAACCCAGAACTATCCATACCCTGACCGGGTACCTGTATCTGTTTCCTCTCACGTAACAGAACCGTGAAAGTAGGCACCGTTCTCTTTAGCTTGTGTGGTCACATGATTTCTCATGCAAATCTAACATTAAGAGTAAACAACAACCAACCAAAAAGAGCAACAATGGAGGAGCTTGAAGTTCTGATTTACCTTTTATTGCATTATGTTCTATGTGAGAGTCAGAGACACATTTTGGATAGCTAGTGTTTTTTTATTTTTAATTTTTATTTTTTTTTAAATATATAGTCTTCTGACTCGATTGAGACTGCGTGATGATTTTGTGATGATTGCATTTGCAGCATTGCTAGCTCCAGCCATACATTTCAGCTCGGCATGTTTAGCACCCTGGCAAGAAGGCTAACTAAGTTCTGTACAGTTCACTAGTAAATAGAAATGATAAAATGCGTGCTCACGGATTTGCAACCGTAGTGCACTGCCTGGCGTGGGCAAATTTCCCCAGGCATATTAGAAAATTATAAAGTGCTCACAGACAACTTAGCAGTGTTCAACACACTGTTTCAATGAATGCAACAGAATGGGGACACTTATCTTTAAGAATGTTATATACTCACAATGGGGAAAGCCACAAGGTCCTCAGCACTCATTGTGTTCAGAGAGTCTTTTGGGATTCGGAAATCAGGTGGGAAAAAGTACCGCAGCAATGTCCTACAATGAACACACAGTGTAATGCGGTTAAGTCGGTGCAAATACAGAAAAACCTCATACCACAATTTACTTGAGTCACACTGTCATCGTTTCAATAAAGAACTGAAACCAGTGAAACTAAAGCAGATGTACAAGGACATACTCGTGCATGTCCACTTCTACATACTCCCACAAAGATTCACATACATCTATCCACACCCACCTCATCATGGTGACAAGGCCCTCTGTAGTTTCCCTGCTCGGCCCGCTCTGGGTTGTATCAGGTTCAGCTGCTGTGGGCGGCGTCACAGACCGTGCTGGAGCCTGATTAGTGTCTGGACTCCGTGATTCTGGTGAAGCAGGGCGCATGAGGCGGACATCATCACTGCCTTTAAACACCCTAAAAAAGTAAACAAACAAATAATAAATAGAAACCGTAACAAAATAAAACATACAGAATGCATATCAGAAGATTTTAGTTTAGTTAGTTTATCCATATAATATGACTAACAATAGATAAATATCATAAATTACTTTCATCTGTATGTATGTGAATTCATACCAGCGGTCTCTTGGAGTGTTCATGGGGACATAATCAAACTTCACTTTCCAGCGCACACTCTCTTTCCCCGTCTCTACTGCAGTCACTCGGCCAGTGAACCACTCTCCATTCACCTTCGCCTCCACCTGTATGCCTTTATCTGAGAAACACACAGACACACAAGTACTACTTAGTTACTACAAACCAAAAAAATTTTACCGCATACATGTTTTGAAGGTTTTTGAATTTGTATTAAAGCACAAAATATACTGTATTAATATTGCTACCTTTATGGGCATTTTTCACAGCATCTTGTTTTAAATCTTCTTCAGTACTATTGCTGACTTTCTGTGGAAGAAAACTCGATTGGTTTAAAAATGCACGGAATTAGTTTCTAAGCTTGTAGCATATATTACCCACAAAGAGGTCTAAAAAATGTAAGGTAGTTAAATTAATGTACCTCTGTGTTGTTTGCTTGTTTGGCTGGAAGGACCTTCTTTTCTACTGCTCCCTTTCCACGACTCTGAACAGGTGCCGCCAGTTTGGACTTTTTGGGTTGTGGCTCCTCCTCCTCTTCGCTCTCTTCCTCTTCCTCTTCGTCATCTTCTTCTTCCTCCTCTTCTTCCTCTTCTTCACTTTCTTGCTCTTCTTCATCTTCTTCTTCTTGTGCTTTACCCTTCTTGGCACTTCCTCTCTTGCTAGATGGAGTTTGTCTGCTGGCCGTCTTTGTGGAGGACGGCTGAAACCAATCACAGACATACCATTTCTCACTACTAACTCCAAAAGCTCTATACTGAGTTTCTACTGCTCATCTCAACATATACAGAAAAGGGCTAGAGTTCAGCTCAGTTTGGTGATTTTCCTGCTCTAATATGCTCACTAAACCTGGTAATTAGCTG